GAGAATGGGGGAAAAACGCAAAAAAAAAACAAAAAAAAACTGAGGTGCATTAGGGTAATGAGAACTGATGGAAAACGCAAAAAAGCAAAAAAAACCCTGAGGTGCATTAAGGTAATGAGAATTGAGGGAAAACGCAAAAAAACTATAAAAACCCTGAGGTGCATTAAGGTAATGAGAATTGATGGAAAACGCAAAAAAAACAAAAAAACTGAGGTGCATTAGGGTAATGAGAATTGATGGAAAACGCCCAAAAAAACAAAAAAAACCCTGAGGTGCATTAAGGTAATGAGAATCGAAGGAAAACGCCAAAAAAAGCAACAAAAACCGAGGTGCATTAGGGTAATGAGAATTGGGGGAAAACGCAAAAAAAAAAAAAACTGAGGTGCATTGGCGTAATGAGAATTGATGGAAAACGCCAAAAAAAACCCTGAGGTGCATTAAGGTAATGAGAATTGAAGGAAAACGCCAAAAAAAGCAACAAAAACCGAGGTGCATTAGGGTAATGAGAATTGGGGGAAAAATTAGGGTAATGATAATTGAGGGAAAATGCCCCAAAAAAAAAAAAAAACATGAAGTGCATTAAGGTAATGAGAATTGAGGGAAAACGCCAAAAAAAGCAACAAAAACTGAGGTGCATTAAGGTAATGAGAATTGGGGAAATATGCAAAAAAAAAAAAAGGTACAAAAAATGGTACAAAAAGGGTTTATTTTTTGGACATGTTCTTGACCGGTTTCGTGAGATTCACCCCAAATGTATACTGAAAGATGCAAGTATAACTTTGAGCGGAACGTTTAAGTCCTGTGCAAAGCTAAATTCGGCATCTCTGTAGCTGAATGTGCGTCAACAATCACTGTCACTAATGGAGAGAAGGTGCTGAGGCACACTGGGAATGCAATGATGAAAGACTGATTAAATAAGAGGGAGAGCGATAGAGAGAGATTAAATGTTTAAAAAGGGAGAAAAGCAGTTACAGTGCCATTTCCTTCACATTTGTTGAAGAACAGCACATGTAGGTCATTTTATAAAATTGTGGCGTACTCTTCACCACCGCGAGCTGCTGTCAAACTCGCCGTCAAACGCACGCTAACGCTAGTCTCCGTAAAGGCAAGCTGGTCTGGGCTGATCAAGTTCCTTCATGACTATTCTTGAAGAAGAAGCGAGAACTGAAGTAATCACTTAAGGTCGTGTGGTCGACGGGGATCTGAGGAATCAGGTTTAACCGCTGAGAGGATCCTCGCGATAGTGGATAGCATAGCGCAGCTTCTCCAGCATCACGTCGAGGGAAGAGTACTGCGGCAGCTTGACCATGAACATGCAGGTCTCCACGCGAATGTAACGCAGATCTGGGGAACCTGAAACAGATGGAAACACAGAGTTAATAGCTTCACAACAATTCAAAACCAATGAAACCACTTTATTTAAATACTCAAGACCAATAGCGTTTTAAGAAAAGATGTTTTAGAACAGTTTTTCTATTGTCAGTTTACAGCTATGGAAGCTTATTTCCATAAATTGCTTTTTTATGCGTAATTGCGACTTTTTATCTCACAATTCTGAATTTTTTTTTTATCTTACAATTCTGATATTTCTTTCAGAGATAACAAGTCACAATTACCCTTTTGAATTCTGTTCATAATTCTATTGTTCAATTATTTTTTTTATTTCCATGGTGGAAAAAAGCTTCCATACGAAGCGGTTTTTAATTTATGAAATCAAACTGATACTTTTTACAATGCTTGACAATTTTGTTATACGAATAGTCAACCAACAACAACGTTTCGGTGCATGATTTTTTTTTATGTAACAGCAAACAATGGTTTGTTTTAAGTGTAGGGGTGTGCGATATATATCATCTGCGATAATATCGTAATTGTTGTTTAACGATGTGCGATTTGACATTATCGAGTATTTTGCAAAAAGCATTCAAAACACATCTGCAGAGTGCAGTGCATTATGTGAAGTTTAGACTAGTGCGCGTGCGTACTTTCACTGCATGATTCAGTCCAATAAAATACATTTAGAGAGATCACAAAATTCAAGACATGGGGACAGAAAATGTATATATTTATATCATTTCATATAGTTAATCAATATCACACAAAGAGTGCCATTTTTCTCTCCAAAAATGACCATGACTACAAATGTAATATTGATTTTTTACAACAGTTAAAAAAAACAAGAAGTTAATTAAGAGACTTATGTTTTAGACGCCATAACTGGCTGTTTTTGCGCTATTTCGACAACAAAAATAATTCCAAACACAGCCACAGCACTGTTTAGCATCTCTGAGCAACTTGACGGTGTTTCGTTCCTGAATGAATCACTCGTTTAAATGATTCGGTTCAGTCGCAATGACTCACTTATTAACCGTGATTTGCTGCCACCTACTGGCGGTTTTAATTTCACATTTAAATTTCCATCAAAGTTGTCCTAAAACCTAAAACCAAAATGCGTTCTTGTCTTAGGATTATTTTATTATTATTATTTAGATAATTTCGAATAACGTTTTATGTTTCATATATTAAAACATTTTTATATTTTTATTTTAATTACATATTTATGCATTTGTAATTGCAGGTTAAGCATTCATGTTCTGCACTAAACAGTAGTGTGTGTAAATACATCTAATTGCTACTTCAGACGCAGCTTCTGTGTTTCCTCTGCATTGCAAAGATGAATTTTGTTGATACTGATTTCATTTGCTTGGTAACAGCCCAAATGTCTTATTCTAATTCAATGATTAAATGTAAGAATTTGTGTCAAAAGATAAAGCACACTTTTTAGAAAAATGGCTTTATAAACCTAAAAATGCCCATTAAAAGGTACAAATGTATTGTAAAAGATTAATTTCTATCAGTGTGAACTGACCACACTGAACATGAAGAATATCAAAAACTTTAGGATTCAGCTGTCCATGGCAAAATATCGTCTAATTATCGTTATCGATAAAATCCCAGAAAATATAGATATTATTTTTTGTCAATATCGCACATCCCTATTTACGTGAACCTCTTAACGCTTAAAGAGCAAAAAGCGCAAAAATTCTTGTGCAAAAGTTTCTCCAATGCTCTTCGGCAGTGAAACCATATGTACGTATAAAGCTTGGCTACACCAATGCAATCATTATTTTCAATTATTGCCCTTGATATTGTAATAAGGATTATTAATGTTGATTAATAGAATGCATAAAAAAAAAAAAGTCTGTATCTGGGGAAAAAGCACATCATATTCGTATAGGCAAAAGATAAAACAAGCTGAGCACTGTTTATGAATATGTTTATTGCCTTTTGGTTATCTTAGCAGCATGGTTATCAAATTGGAAATAAATTATATACAGAAAGCAAGTAAAGAATGTTCCCCAAATCCTGTTATGATCACTAAAGCCGTCTACACCACTAAATACATTTCTTGCATTGTACTGTAATTGCACTGCTGGCACAGTGCATGAGAGTGCAGAATTTGTTGGGCATTTTTGTTCATTTGTTAATTTCTGACCTCGATCTTGTCAACAATGAATGTGTGACACTCACCCACCGCCCCATCAGGCGGGGCGATCTTCATGGGGTAGGGGGGCACGTGAGCAGTGTCGGGGCCGCCGTCTTTACAGGGGCAGGTGAAGGGGATTCGCTCCTGGTTGCAAGCGAACTTGATGAACTTGCTGAGCTCCTCCTGCGTGAACATCTCGAGCGCAGCCCAGAAGAACTCAATGTGCTGGTCCGTCTCCATCAGTCCCACCTGATACATAGTGTGAGCCTGGATCGACGTGATCAGGAGAATGAGTTCGGTTAGTTAACTAGTTGGACGGTCCTGTTTGCACGTTTGGTAAGCAAACGTGTAAAAAGTGGCATAATGTACAGTCAGTGGCATGTAAATGAAATTAAAATGCATTATAATTTAAATATACATTAAGTGCAACCCACTTAGTTAGGGCTTAAAGGGAGAGTTTACCCAAAAATGAACATTTGCTGTTAATTTACTCGCCCTCAGGCCATCCAAGGTGTAGGTGACTTTTCTTCTTTTTTTTTTTTTTTTAGGTGAATTGGTCTTTGGGGAATTCATAAAATGCAAGTCAACGGCCACTGGTGCTTTTGAGAGTCAAAAAAGCCCATAAAGAAACACAAAATTAACACCCGTGGCTCCTGACGATATATTGAGGTCTTATGAAGCGAAACAACTGGTCTGTGCAAGAAAATCAACATTATTACCAGAGCCTCAGGCAAACGGGGAAATACGATTCTTTTCTGCGAACTGGTTTTTCGGACAGTTCGTTTTAACGAACTGATTCAAATAACAGTTCACCAGTACGGAATCACTTAACGTATACGCAACTATATTATTTAAATATCCAATAATCACGTGAAATGGATGTTTTACATGTCTAAAGCATTTAAAGTGAATAAACTAGTTTTAAATCACATAAACCCTGAGAAACCATAGAAACATTAAATTGGCTCTTCGGTCCGAGTTGAACTGTTTGCTCAGTTCAGTGACTGCTGGAGGAACTGGAGCTCTGAATGATTCATTCATCATAGCATCAGATACGCCAGTATTTCGGCTCATTTCCAGTCAGAGTGACTGAAAGTGAGTTTTGATTGAGTAGCTTGTAGAACTGTGCTGTTCCAGCCGTGAATTGTTTCAGACGCTTCAGTTTAATTTTTTGAACTGGTTCAACTATAATAGCCAACATTTGAATCAAAACCTTCCATCAAAAGTTGTTCTAAAACCAAAATGCGTTCTTGTCTTAGGACAACTTTGATGAACGTTTCTGATCCACTTCAACTGTAATTCACTAAAAATAACCGTTTAAAAAAAACGATTTGTTTGCAAAACGGACACTTTGAACTGTTTGTTCATTATTTCAGGTAATAATGTTGCAAATAATGTTCAGTTTCTTGCACAGACCGATCGTTTCGCTTCATAAGACCGCATTATATCATCAGGAGCCACGGGTATTCATTTTGTGTTGCCTGTATATGCTTTTTTGACTCTCAAAGGGCCAGTAACTGCTGACTTGCATTTTAAGAATCCCCAAGGATCACGGTTTCAGCTAAAAATCTTCCTTACTGTTCAACTGAAGACAAAAAGTCACCTACGTCTCAAATGGCCTGAGGGTGAGTAAATGAACAGAAAATTTCCTTTTTGTGCGAACTATCCCTTTATGTGCGCTTCTTTTTCACAGGGGACTAGAAGTACACTACCGTTTAAAAGGTTGGGATCAGAACGATTTTTAATGTTTCTTATACTCATCAAGGCTGCATTTATTTGATCAAAAATACAGGAAAAAATTTAATATTGTGAAATATTATTACGATGAAAAATAACAAATTTATTTCTGTGATCAAAGCTGAATTTTCAGCATCATTACTCCAGTCTTCAGTGTCACATGATCTTCAGAAATCATTCTAATATGCTGATTTATTATCAGTGTTGAAACTGTTGCTGCTTCATATTTTTTTGGAACCTGTGATACTTTTTTCAGGATTCTTTGATGAATAAAAAGTTAAAAAGAAGAGCATTTATTTAAAATAGAAATCTTTTCCAACAATATACACTACCGTTCAAAAGCTTGGGGTCAGTAAATTTTTATTCTTTCTTTCTTTTTTTTTAAAGAAATTAAAACTTTTATTCAGCAAGGATGTGTTAAATTGATAGCAAAGATTTATATTGTTAGAAAAGATTTCTATTTTGAATAAATGCTGTTCTTTTTAACATCCTAAACTTTTGACCGGCAGTGTAAGTCAACAAAGATGAAGGCAAGCGGTAAAATTTCAATGCTGCAAATGAAAGAAGAGGAAAGCGAGTTGAGCGGTTCGCTGTCTGACCTTGAGGAACTCCAGGTCGATGTCCGGCAGGCCGCAGGTGCGCAGCTCCATCTCAGCGGGGCTCAGTAAGGTCAGGAGCTGCAGGGGTATGATGGAGCCCAGGCCGGCGCGGACGGCCGACATACACTCCACATTCTGCAGCTCCCGCCGGCGCAGATCTCGCACCGCTCGCACATACACATCTCTATTCTCCCAGCTGAACAAACACGCACACGACTACATGCATTAGAGACCATCTATATATTAACTTCCCAACACATTTAAAAAGCACTTAGCATTTCTTTGCTCAAGACTCCCTGCAATAAGCACAGCACATCCATTGCTGAGTCCAATATAAAGTAAAACTTAAGCTTAAGATAATTCACCCAAAAATGGTAGCCACTGACTTCCATAGTATTTTAAATTTTTTGATATACTATGGAATTCGATGGCTACCGTCAGCTGTTTGGTTACATTCTTTAAATTATGACAAAAAAAAAAAAAATTCTTAGCGATATGCTATTTACACTATGTGCAAATAGTGACAGATACTATTTACACCATGTAAAAATAGCAGGATTTTCTGCTATTTATACTAATTATTGCAAATAGTGGCACATATCTGCACCTCAGTATTATAGTACATTATAAAACAGGATACAATAATAACATACTGAGTGTAAATTATAATTTTAATTGAAATTATTAAATGGATGCCACTTTATTGGGACAATAAAGCCGTCCCCATACTTTATTTTCAACTTTTTGATTATTTCCTATATTTTTATTGAAAATGAATGCCTTTCCGATGTGATATGTGACCCTGGAGCACAAAAGCAGTCTTAAGTTGCTGGGGTATATTTGTAGCAATAGCCAACAATACATTGTATGGGTCAAAATTATTGATTTTTCTTTTATGCCAAAAATCATTAGGATATTAAGTAAAGATCATGTTTCGTGAAGATATTTTGTAAATATCCTATCGTAAATATATCAAAACTTAATTTTTGATTAGTAATATGCATTGCTAAGAACTTCATTTGGACAACTTTAAAGGCGATTTTCTCAATATTTAGATTTTTTTGCACCCTCAGATTCCAGATTTTCAAATAGTTGTATCTCAGCCAAATATTGTCAGATCCTAACAAACCATACATCAATTGAAAGCTTATTTATTCAGCTTTCAGATGATCTATAAATCTCAATTTCGAAGAATTGACACTTAAGACTGGTTTTGTGCTCCAGGGTCACATATGAGATTTGAAAGGGGAGAAGAAAGAGGTCGGCAAAAGGCTTTTGTAAGACTGACTCAATCTCAATCACACGTTGATAGGCGGAGTTAATGTAAATAGCCTCTCTGCCTTAAAATATCCTCTTTTAGGTTCAACAGAAGAAAGAAACTCATGCAGGATTGAGGGTGAGTAAATGATGAACCGTCCCTTTAAACAGGTCAGTCGATGGCTCCTACCTGACAGCGATGTCACTTCCTCCGTGGCACAGCTCTACTTCCTCTCCGGTCATGGTGATGTAAGTGAATGTGCAGCAGGGACGGCTCGGTGAATCCGGGCTCTCACTCAATTGGCTCTGCGACGAGACTTCAGCACACAATGCTTCCAGCTCCGCCTCATCGGCCAACTGTGACGATACGAGAACAAAAGAAGTACACCAGCATCCTTTTAAAAACTGTACTTATTAGGGAAATTATATATTTAAGTATGAACCGATCGTAATGCTTTCTGACACTTAATTGCATGTCAATTGCAATTATATGACATGTATTATAGTTAAATTTACGTTAAATGCAATTGAACTTTAGAGTGTTTTATGATCACGCACGCACTCACACTCACACTCTCGCGCACACACATGCCCGCACACACACACACACACACACTCTCTCTCACACACACACACACTCTCACACACACACGCACACTCACACACGCACACACAAGGAGAAGAGAGAGCGCCGAACTCTGCAGCTCCTTACAGACTTGCCACAAGAAATGCCTGAATGAGCCGCCTGAGAAAACACACGACAAGCAAGAAGCATGTAAACCGGATTCATGCTATTCTTATTATTAACTAAAACCATTAAAAGTATAAAATAAATAATACAAATGTCAAAAGCACATGACAAACTTACCTAAACTTAAACTAAATTTCAGATTAAAACTGACCAACATAAAAATGCAAGTTATTTCAAAATATTAATAAACACTGTAATACTACATAAATAATACAGAACAGGGTGGAAGTACAGTTGCTTCATTGCTTAGTACACTATAAGCAACAAACAAATAGAAAATATAACTATAAAATTCATTAATTTATAATTTAAGGACTTTTTTTGCGAGCAAATAAAACAATGAAATTAATTCCTTAATTTTTAACAATCTGTGACCGCATCGAACTTGAAAAGGAAGATTTATACTAAATACAATAAAAAAGGTTGAACACAGTTAAGTTAGTAGTGCTGCTACTATTAGCTACTCGTCGAATAGTGTTGATATTGTTAATTAAAACTGACTGAAATAAAATAAAATATAAATATTAAATGACTTAAATGAAAATTAGAAATTAATGTACTGAATAACTGAAATAAAATATATCGAAGTACTAAAATGACTAAAACTAAAATAAAAATAAATCCAAATAGAAATATTTAATAAAAAAAAACCTAAAAAAATAAAATTTACAAAAACATTTTTGTCATTTTAAACCAAAATTACTAAAACTTGCTAAAAAATGTAGTTAATTTTGTCCACAACCAGTGCTATTGTATTTGTTATTTGTATTGTAACTAAATTAAAAATCATTTTTGTTAATGGAAATGAAGCTGAAATAAAATATAAATATGTGACCCTGGACCACAAAACCAGTCTTAAGTGTCAATTTTTCGAAATTGAGATTTATAGATCATCTGAAAGCTGAATAAATAAGCTTTCCATTGATGTAAGGTTTGTTAGGATCGAGACAATATTTGGCTGAGATACAACTATTTGAAAATCTGGAATCTGAGGGTGCAAAAAAATCTAAATATTGAGAAAATCACCTTTAAAGTTGTTCAAATGAAGTTCTTAGCAATGCATATTACTAATCAAAAATGAAGTTTTGATATATTTACGGTAGGAAATTTACAAAATATCTTCATGGAACATGATCTTTACTTAATATCCTAATGATTTTTGGCATAGAAGAAAAATCTATAATTTTGACCCATACAATGTATTGTTGGCTGTTGCTACAAATATCCCCCAGCGACTTAAGACTGCTTTTGTGCTGCAGGG